ATCTATAGAAGGTGCTGGTACCTGACACACTACTGCCAGACAACCTCACAGCTCCTTTAGGACCACACAACCACTGTCAATCTGTTAACCCTACCTCCTTCCAGCTGGGCAGAAAATATAAGGAATGCTAAAGGGCTGATAACTGCTTTATTTCCCAGCAGGACTGCAAACCTCTAGCCAGTACGGCAGTATCATGCTCCCTGCTTTTGATTTACATCTGCAGATATATCCTAACGTGGCAAAATATGTGGGAGCCCGATGCGTTTAGAAGTTTAAACGTTTAACTTTGCTGGTTTGCTGGCAGCATTTCCGAGTGCAAGCACGGCCTGCTTACACGTACCCTTCCAAGAAAGCCATGTTTCCTGGTTGTCTCTACTCTGCGCAAAGCTCATCAGCACAGACACATCCTCTTTGCTGGGAGAACTCTGTCGCTGCCGTACGCATACGGAGCCTGGCACCGTGCTCCTCTGTGCTGGGTACACATACTGCTGCTCACCTGAACGTGAGGTCTCCCTGGGTCTTGGATTTCTCTGCACGCAACCGTTTCTGTGTCTATGCTGGGGGTGGCCGGGGTGGAGTGCTCTTTGGTTTCAGCTTTACTGCAGGGACTGAATTTTGGTGTTTTTTCCTAGGTCCTGTGCCAAATTCATATTTAACTTTGTGTGTAAAGCATCCAGGGCCTCAGATAAAGTGAAAGGGCAGGGCTTTCCATAAGCTCATGGGCTCAGGGTACAGGGACATCCCTTAGTGTTATAAACAGCACCACGCATCTTGTTTAAATTGCATTTTAAGACAAACGCAGATTTCATCCTCAAAAATTTTAGCCTAAAATGGCTTTGTTTTCCTACAGCTTTTCTATTCATTAAGTGTCCAGTGCAGCTCTAACATTTTCTCTTGCAGGATACAAGTCTCTGCTTCTAGAGGAATCTGGCAGCAAAGCTATTTTGTGGGGTGCAGTAAATGATTTCCTGGAATATGATATCAGATCAGGTGAAGCTCCTTTGTGAGATCACACATGAAGTAGTTGACAAACTGCAATGCCTCTCATTTCCTTAGGCAATATCAATGTTCCTTTGGATAAGGAACAGGATTTCTTATTTTCTTGTCAGGGAATTAAGAAGCTCTGGAAAAAAAATGAAGACTAACATACTAATCACAGCAATTTTGACATGATAAATAATAAGAGTTCCTTCTTTTTATTTTTTTTTAAGAAAAAAAAATGCCTCTCCATTGTAAATTCAAAGCAAAGGAAGAATCCAGCAAATTTTTTATCTCTGCTTCCTTCCTGTATAAATAGCTATATTTGGCACACCAAAAATAGACCAGGTAAGTATCTAAGGCCCACTGGTTCTTAACAGAAGCCTGGACCTAAGTTTGCTTGCTACTGTGTAAGGAAGGAATAACAGCACTGAAATCAATGCATTTACACCAGAATACTTAATTGAAGTAAGAGGGGTTTTGTTTCCAGCAAATACATACACATCCTCCACATTTTAAACAGCAGCAGATTGAACCTTCCTTCCATCCGACTCACAGCGCCTTTTAATACCACTAGGAAGAATGAGTGCCCAATTAATCTCAGGTTAAATGCCAGGAAAGCTGCGTAAATCACAGCTTTTCCTTTTCCTATAGGAAAAGGGAAAAAAAAACAGTGTTACTCATACTGGTTTATTCAAAAACATTTAGACTGCCTTTCTCTCAGACATGCCTGACTCCCCACCTGTGACTGGACAGGAAAGCATGTGTTATGACACATGATTTTGCAAAAGCATGGACAGCTAGGACAGAAGAACCTTGGCTTATACCTTAGAATGAATCTTAGATTAAATATGCAAAGGTTTAAGGAAAAAATAATAAAAAGGCTGTTTTGTCTAATTACCGTAATATAAGTAACCTTTCAAAATTAACCTCCATTGTTCATTTTTCAAGCTTAGCTTGTACAAGTATTGCAAAAGATATTTAGACTATCCGAAGTAGTTTAAGAGAAATAAATACTCCTAGAGCAGTATCTAGATGTCACATAAAATAGAGATGAACATAAAACTACTGCAGCAGTAAGCACCTACACTTATTTTTTTTTTTTGTAGATCGTTTTGCACCCCAAAAATAAATCTGTATTTTCCCTGTGAAATGCTTCAGACTAATGCACTCCTGAAAACAACAACAAAAACAGCTGGAGATGAACAAAATAGCCTGAAATGGCTCTTCTAATTTTAAACTCTAAGAGACCATTTACATCAAATAAAAAGACACTATAAATTGCATTATTTGTGAGGGCACTTATGGAACACAAATTACTTGTATTACTGGAATAAACATTGAACAGAATCCACCAAAACATGTGAAGTCCTTTAAAGGGAAATACAGTAGCTCTTGATCCTAAATAAACTACAGTTAAAAGAGTGCTTAAGCACACATAGATATTGTGTTATTCTGATAACCTGAGGAAAGCTAAAGGCAGAGAGGCTGTCCCTTTTGCTAATTTTTTCTTTCTTTTCCAGGAAACCAAATATTAAGTACCTGGATTACAAACCTCCTCCAAGGGTTGATCCCACTTCCTTTGACGTTCACCTCCCACGAATGACACAATCCAACGCCCACACACCACCTCCAAGGAAGCAAAGCACTGCCTTAGCTTTAGCAAACCGGCATCCACTTGGTTCTGGCCAAAGAAAAAGCACCCTGGAACTCCCTGCAAACAAATCGTATCATTTGCTGACGTGAGAAGAGGGCAGGGAGAGCACAGGGGGGAAAAAAAAAAAAAAAAGAGTGGGGAGGAATCAGAGGACGCTCCCATTAGTCACTGGGAGCATGTGTTGTGATTTTAATGGTGTGCCTGGAAATTAAAATCCTCTGCTAGCATTAGTCAGAAAGTAAACATGAGGCTGCCATGGGATAACGGCGTTCACCTCATGGGGAGGCAGCTGGCAGCCTCAGCACTTCGTCAGGGACAGGATGACAGGCTACCCATGGCAAGCAGGACAGCCACAGCGAGTAGCCGGCTTTTCCATGGGACAATATGGATTCTGCCACGGCAACTTCAACTTCAGTGGCCAGGTTCTCAGCTTCATACCTCGTCAGCATGAGACTTCTCTGGTGAACACTCAGAGTGATTCCCAGGATGACCAGCATCGCTGTTAGCCACACCTGGGTTTTCCATAGAGCTAGCTCAGCCCAAAGCTCATCTTGGCTTTAGAAGCTAGAGGCAAAAGATGAGACAAGGGCACAGCTTCCATGAGCCCAGCCGCACCAGTATAACAGCCTCCTCCACTCCTTCATGACACATTTGTAAGCCAGTGGCAAAAGCATCTGCACGGAATCCAAGTGTCGGCCAGAGCAGCATTGCCTGTGAGCAAGTGGAACCAATGCACGTGCTTCAGATAGGGAGCTAGGAAACTCCCTCCTAGGACTGCTCTAACAGAGCAATGACCTCTTGCTCATTAAAGACTCTCTAGCGTGCTAGAAAATCGCCTAATTGCTCTATAAGGCTCATGTGAATATGTTCTGGAATATCAAGGCAAGGCAGAGTACAGTTCCCCCTACAGCTTCATTTCCCTTCTGATTCACACCGATGGACTGTAACCCCCATGACAATAATTGAGAATTAATCAGCAGTGAAGTGCCAACTGCTCTAGGAATGGAAATACAAGGGAGAACTGAGTGTATCTCATATTAAAAAAAAATGTTGATGATGTTAATATAGCTGAAAAAAATATTGCAAGCTGAATAAAAAGGGATTCCTCCAATAAACTTGGTTATCTTCGTCCCTTTCTGTTCACAGGGACCAAAAGGTAAAGTATTTCTAAGGATTTAATGGCAAAGCAGCTAAACGTAATACATTGTATTCCTTTCTCCGCCACACTTCCTTAAGGAAGAGGATGATAAAAATTATGTAAAGACAACACCCAACCTATATAAAGACAAACGAAGGCAGAAAGCTACCCCCGCTTCCTCCAGCGCCTGAAGTTTGTCAGATGCTGCACCTTCTATCAAATCCAAACTATTTTTGCGCTCGTTCTCCGCTCCGTTAGCACTTGCAGGGAACAAGCCACAGCCCTCTGCGTGCCCAGCGTGGGCGGCAACGGCGAGGCGCCGAGAGCTGGCACCCCCGGCTGCGCCCACGCCGCAAGGTGCAAGGCGGTGGGCTGGTGTTAAAAAGAAAAGAAAAAGGCCGCGCTACCACCACCAGGAATTCGATCTGGGATAAAAGCAAAAGCAGCCCCTGTGCATTAACAGAGCGTAATTTTAAGGGCAAAAAAAGTAAGTTTTCCTCACACAATGAGTGGCTGGGGAAGGCCTCGGTATGCAGTACCACACTCTGTGTGGTCCAGAGCACCTTGGCAAAATGGTGGTGGTTGGTTCTCACAGGGGAGTAACCCTCCACCCTCCAGGGGTGTGAAAACACCACAAAAAACATGCCCGTCCTTTCCACCGTTGCCTGCTTACTACATCCCACAAATATGCTGAGGCAACTCATATGAACTGGGGCACTGCATCCAGATCGGCCCAAGTTCAGGCCTTTGCTGCTCCTACACAAGAATTCTGTTTTTAAGCCTCTTCTTGGGCACGCTTGGGATATAAAACCCGCTCACCTCCCCCAAAGCGCCTGAGGGGCGGCGGGACCGGCTGCCAGCGAGCCCATCTGCGGCCCCGGCCGGCCTCTTGGCCGCCACCGTTAGGGGCGGGCTCAGCGCGCGGCGACCGTTGGGGGCGGCGACCGTTGGGGGCGGCGACCGTTGGGGGCGGCGACCGTTGGGGGCGGCGACCGCTGGGGGCGGCGACCGCTGGGGGCGGTGACCGCTGGGGGCGGTGACCGCTGGGGGCGGTGACCGTTGGGGGCGGTGACCGTTGCGGGCGGCGACCGTTGGGGGCGGGCTGGGCACGTGACTCCCTGCTCTGCCCCGGAGCCGCCGGCCGCCGCCATGAGGCCGGCGCGGCCGCCCCGCCGCCCGCAGCGCCCGCTGGCCCTGCTGCTGCTGCTGGCGCAGGCGGCCGGCGGCGGGGCGGCGGCGCCGCCCGCAGGTACCTGCCTTGCCTTCCCTCTCGCCCTCCCTGCCGCTCTCGGCGGGGCCCTGCTCGCGTCCTTCGCCGTGGCCGGGCGCCAGGGCAGGGGCTGGGCTGTGCGCACCGGGGCGGGGGCTCGCGCTGGCCCGCGGCAGCAGGGCGCCGCCGGGAAAAGCTCTTTCCTCAAGCTCCTTCTGCGCCTACCCCCCTCCCCGAACGGTGCTATCCCTTATGTTTGTATAAAAAAGATGCGGATTACGGCTTCTCACAAGTACGCGAGTAATTCCCCTCTGAAGCTTCAGGGCAAGATACTTTCAGCCACGGCTGTTCTGCTATTAAGGAAGGATCCGAAGGTGTTGCCTTCCGTGCAGCCACCATCCGTGTGGCCATAGTGCCTGGGACAGTCAGGGTAAAGATCTTTCCGTAAATGGAAAGAGGTTTTGTTTTGCTTTGTTTTTCTCTTTTCCTTCTAGCCAGTAATTTCATCAAACATGCCCTGGAGATCCCCTGATAATTATTCTACTTTGCTAGTGTCATCATTAGTTACTGTAATAACATTTTCCAGGATAACTTTGCAAGAAAGCTTGTGGCTGAACTGTTATATTTATATATATATAAATTAAATGGCATCAAATGCACTGGAAACAAAGGTTTGCAGTGAAAGAAAGGTTTGTACCTTTCTTTGAGTTATTTCAGTTGCAGAGGTCTGTGCATTGTCATGTGAAACGTTGGTGCAGGTTGCTCTCTATGGCCTTCCTGTTAGTTTGGGTCAAGGCAGTAGACTAAGCAAGCTGGGGCTGTTTAGCCTAGAGAAGGCTGAGAGGAGATCTGATCAATATGTGTAAGTACCTGAGGGGAGGATGTAGAGATGTAGGGAGGAAGGGGCCAAACTCCTGGTGATGAGCAGTGACAGGACAAGGGGCAGTAGGTACAAGTTGAAGCATAGGAAGCTCCATCTCCATGTGAGGAAGAACTTCACTGTGAGGGTGATAGAGTCCTGGCACAGGCTGCCCAAGGAGCCTGTGGAGGCTCCTGCTCTGGGGATCGTCAAAACCTGCCTGGATGTGACCGGGTGCCCCGTGTTCTGGGTGTCCCTGCTGGAGCAGGGGGTTGGACTGGATGATCTCTAGAGGTCCCTTCCAACCTCAACCATTCTTGTGAGACTGTGATTACAGAGGGCATCAAAATCCAGAAAGGTTATCTGGTTATTCTCAGCTGTAGTAGCAGTGTACGCATTTTGTGTGTACGCATAAAACAGCTCAAGAAGCTCTTCCCATTTCTTTCCTGGATGGAAGCTCCCTGATCTAAAACTTCTTTTGGATTCTGCAGAAGATGCTGATTCCCTCTACTGCTCCCAGTCTTGACATTTGAGGACTGCCTGCTCTGCGTACCTCCTTCTAAAACGCTTAGATCAGATGGTTAGCGACTCTGATGCAGCAACGTAATGCAAAGTAACACTTCTCAGAGACTCATTTATCTTTCTGCAGCTCCCTCTGATGACATTACGGAAGTGCCTGTCAATTCGGAGAGAGAGCCAACCCTTGTATGAAAGTACTGAGCTCCCAGTGGCCTCACTGTGGATGAGGCTTCATTGTATGTTTCACGGAATCGCAGAATGGTTAAAGCTGGAAGGGACCTCTAGAGATCCTCTAGTTCAACCTTCCTGCTCCAGCATGTTTAATTTTCATGAAAGAAGTGTCCAGATCATAAATTTAAACCAAATTAGCTTAAAAGGCTCATTTGGTATACATTGGCTGTTCTGATTTTAGAATGATTTAGCAAACTGAGTTAAGAACATCCATACATTTTTTTTCATTGGTTTAATTAACTCCATTTAAAATAATTCAGGGTAGGCTTAGCGTCCTTGAAGAGCCAGAACAGGTTTTTACTTGCAAACAGTATTTCCCCATGCAGCTTAAGTCTGTTTTGCACACACCAATTTTGCTGTTTGGAGTGTGTGACAGTGTTTTTTTCCAAAGGTTTTAGCAGTTATGAGTGAGTTTGACTTAGACCTACTTTTCCTGTTCAGTGAGCCAGATGATTCCCTCTTTTCACATTTGTATTCATTTTCTTTATTCTGCTCTTTAATTATGTTCTTGGAACACTGATGTAATGCACTGCAGGCTATATTTTATACATGTATGGATTGGAATGTATGTTCTTAAAAATTTGCCCCATAAATCTTTTCAGGTGCATTCCCGCTCTGAGGTGTGATGCAATTCTGAAAGGCATAGGGGGTCACTAATATTTCAGGAGAGTTAAACCAATTAGCAATCTTAATTAAATGACTTTTGGCAAATTATTGGCTCCATTTCCTTTTTACATGTTAAGACTGGCCGGTGTCAGGAAAGATGATTCTATAAGGACAAATTATTTTTGAAGAAGTTATGTTATTTAACATTGTGAACATTTCTGAGGGAAGTGGCTACGAGATTTCTGCAGTCAGCAGCAGTGCCCTGTGCTAATGATGATTCTAATATGTAAGTCTGTTTACCTGCTTGCACTCCCACAGCTGCGTTCACCATTAGTATAAGCACTGAGTGCAGTGCAGTTACACTCACTCATGCCAGCAGGAAATTTGGCCCAGAAGCCCTATTCCAGTGCCAGTGTTATAAAAGTGCCACTTTTATAACAGCCATGCTTTTAACACATTAAAAAAAAAAAAAAAGTACCACCCTATTAACTTTTTTCAAAGGTCCTGCAGTTTACTTTGGAGCCTAAAAATTACTTGATTAAAATTCTAATATGGATTTTCATCTAAACTGTATTGAACAGATTATCTTGTAGCATAGCATTTATGTTACATTATCTGAAAATAGCTTGCGAGTCCCTCAGCATATATCAAAAATCAGGGGAAGGAGGCAAAAAAGAGGAAGACTATGTGTTTCTATTAGATGTGTACTTAAAGTGAACTTTTCCTCCCCACTAGATGGAAACTGTAGCCTTCTGGAAGAAAGATATGTCATCCAGGAACTGGGTGAAAACTGTTACTGTTATTTGCAAAACAGAACCATGCATTTACAGTATGTGTGGTCAACTGTTCAGGTAAGAGGTGGTTTTGGGAATCATTCCCACGTGCAGACCTTTCCTCAGCAGAGTATGTGATCTGTTAGCAAGAGCTAACTATCAACAGTAAGTATCTCTGGGTATAATTGTTAGCCTGAATGGCATATAGGTAAGACCATGATAAAGCTATATTTTAGTGCTGTGTTCCTTCACTTTGTGTGCAGCAGAGGTTTGACGTCTCTCACAAGAATGTCACCCAGGCTGTAGCGTTATAGTAAAAGGCCAAACATCTCCCTCATGTTGCATATTGTTTTGTTACACAGCCTTTCTACTGATAAATATCTATAAAATTGTTAACCTCTGTAACAAATGCTTTTGCTTATCACCAAGCCTCTTAATTAAATGTTCTAAATCTCAGAATAAAATATAACTCTGAGGATCACTTATTATTGCATTGTGGGCCACAGCATAGGGACAAAAGCTGTATCAGGTTGTGACTAGTAAAAAACAGCTGTAACATTGTACTTCTATTTTGCAGAGTAGCAGAGGGTTTTTTAAACATGTTTAGGTCCTTAGGCTTGAAACATAAAATGCTCAAAGAAATGACAGGGTAAGGGTAAGTCTTAAGGAACATCCTTAAGACTTATTTTTTGTTTTAAAAAAAATCCATTTTCCTTTTCCTTCTTCTGTCCCTAGCATGAAAATTGTGTTCTTTTCTATGCGAAAAGCAATTTCTGTTACTTATGGTCAGGAGCAAGATGGGAAAGAGTGTGGTCTTTCCAAAGGAACAAACAAAAGAAACTGTGGTCAGTCAAGTTATTATCAGTTTTGTTAGAAGCTTGTGGGCAGGCAAATGTCAAGGGTGAAACCAAACCCCTAGAGCCTTTGAATGGATTGAGGCCTTAGAACTTTGTTGACTGTGAGTTCTCTGAATTGCCTTTTAAGGTCCACAAGGTACATAACAGGATTAAACATCTAACAAAGAATCGAACTAACATTTTATTCTCTAGCTCTCTATACTGTCTTTCCTTATCATATGTACGAATTCTATGTTATGTGTTTCAGAAACAAAAAATGCCAATGATTCTGAGCCACTTCTTAGAGGTATTTTGTTACTGTTTGATTTTAGATAAAAGTTAACAGCACAGAAATGTTTGAGTTTATGCCTATTTCCGATGAAATCAACTGTCGTAATTCCGAAACAGTTTTTGAGTTTGCTGCGTGTGCTGTTCAAATCTTTTGGCAACCAGAGACATCTAGAGAAACATTCATAAACATAAAACAATATGGAGAGGATATTTGTTTCAAAATACAGCCCTTCAAGAAAGAACCGTACATTGTGAGCGTAAAACAAAAAAGTAAGTAATAATGATTTCAGTTTAGATTACAAATAGTTTGGTATTGCAAGTATTAAAGAATGCTACTTTTTATGAAGAAAACTTGGACTTTTCTGTTAATACATAAAAAATCATCATTTCAAATTGAATTAACCTAAAATCCATTTTTGTTTTCCTTTTTTTTTAGTGCTAGATGGAAAGATCTTGTCTTTGTTTGTAGCTGGAATTTTTCTGTTCCATTTTGCAAGCAATCTTAGCAGGTAAGTATAAGCCCCTGTGTTTTGACCTTTCCTGATGTCTGTGCATCTTTGGTCTGTTATCTAAGCTAAAGATGTCAAGCAGCTGTTCTTTAGCACAATGAAACATGGAAAATAAACATATATTTAATCTTCTCCATACCATTCATGTATAAGTGATGGATTCCTACAAGGAGAAATGCTTAGGATGAGGTCATGTGGGGCTTGGTCTGCTGCTACCTGTTGACAGCCTTTTCTGATTGTTCTTTTGATGTTTGTTTTACTCGGTGTTATATTTTGTAAGTCAGATTTTATGCAAAAAAAAATCTTATGAAAAAATACAACATTTTCAATTAAACTTAAAAACTTGTTTTGCAATGCAAAACTGTACCTGTAAATATAGGGAAACGAATAGAAAGTAGATATTCACTAAAAGCAGAAGCAATGTGAGCATTAAGATGACTGAGACTTTAACACTCCAGTGACCTTATGATATTCTTTGGAATTTTTCTTACATGAGTTTGAAGTCTATACAGGACCTGTTAACTGTGTTGCAGCAACTTCTAATTTACAGTTGTGTTCTTACTGAAGACCATTGTTGTATTTAAAAATGTGGCATTTTTAATCAACTGCAATTTAGTGAAAACTTATGGTATTCTCTCTTATTCATTTACAGAAGCCCCAAGTTCTTTTACCTTTCTGGAATAGTACTGGGTGTTCTTGCTCTGCTAGTCTTTCTCCTGTTGACGCTTAAAAGATTTATTCCAAAGGTAAATCTGCATTTGTAAAAATATGTGAAAACAAAACAAAACAAAAAAAAAATCATCATGATCATTTAGGATGTAAAGAACCTAGATCCAGATTGTGACCTTTTGCTCTGATTTTGTAGCCAGTAATTCCACTGAAGTGGGTGCAAGATTGCTTGTATCAAGGAAATATAATCAGGTCAGAATTGAGCTCTAATGAGATTGCTCCCAAGTTTAAAATGAACTGGAGAGTGTTGATGCACAGAAAATGTTTATTCTGAAACCTGAATTGTTTTTATTAGGCTGCAGCTAAGCTTGCTCAAACCATAGCTTTTGCAGCAATTGGAACAAATTCTCTCCTTTTCACCAAATTCACCTCGACTTCTTCTTAATTTCACACAAAACACTTATCCCTATGCATTGTTGTAATATTTCTGAGATAAATTAATTGGAAGTACATTGCAAGAGACGTAACAGGCCCATGTCATGATACTGGGACATGTACGCAAATACAGAAATGCAGCTGCCCCACTTTGACTTGACATTGTTTACTTGCAGCATGGAGTAGTGGAAGTCTAAAACTGATCATAAGCCTGGTAGGTCTACCAAATATCACAGTTGCCTGGGAATTCCCTTAAACCCAGTGCTCCTAATTCTGACTAAGATTTTTGATGCTACCATCATATAGCTGTCTGTCTGAGGTATTCCTTTTATTTCTTTCTTATTTCTTTTATTTTTATTTTTATTTTTATTTTTTTTTCCTCCCCAGCAAAGTACATTTTGGATTTTAATGAGTGGCTGCTGGATGTCCTCACTATATTTGCTGTACTGTTTTAAAGAGAATATGCAATGGTTGTGGTCTGAACACAGGAACTACTTGTTGGGTAAGAGACTGAGCAGAAAAATCAGAAAATGCACTGCAGATTAGGTGTTGAGTTAGTGGTAAGATTAATACCTGCCCACAAGGAATGGCAAGCGACTTTCATATATGATTTTTTTCTCCTGAGCCAGAGATGCTAGAATATTCTGAAAGCTCCTAATCCACTGAAATGATCACTTAGTCCATAGCGAGCCAATAGTAACTTTAAAAGCAATTTTTTGCCTATATTATTTCTTCATTAATTTATCATTTCGTACTCTCCCCAGGACAACAAAAGGCTAGCTCTGTAGGCTTGCATTTTGCTGGCACTGGGAAATGCAGCTGCACAAACCAGTAACTGGATGTGGCTGCAGGGGCTGAAAAACCTGCTGATTTGGCACCTGCTTTGCCAGGAAGGGGTTCTGGTGCAGCATTAGCTAAAGGCCACTCACGATCACCTTATGAACCCTTGCATGTGTTTTAAATACAAAGGGCACATAACAGCTCAAGTATCTATAGGGCAACACAAAACCCAGCAAGCTATACGTTGTCAATCAGTCTGCTGAAGCATACTTAGGATGGTTTGCATCTTTTTCTCCATGCCATTCTTTTTTGTTTCTGCAGGGTATTTTTTGACTGTTGGAATTATAAGCTTTGCTACTTGCTATCAGCATGGACCACTTACCAGTGAATTAAGCATAACCTTCTTCACATGGACACTACAATTCATAGCCTTTGTGTTCATCTACTGCGGTGTCACCATACCTCAAGTTGCATATGCAATCATAGCAGTCAGCCTCTGTTCAAAAGGCCTCTGTTATCCCCTCGGTGCAGCTTGTCACATAGGCAGGTTTGTATGAATTTGCAAGTGTCCAAATCCCTGTGTCACCAGGAGATGAGGTCAATAATGACAAAAAATGCTCCATTTTGATTATGATTGGTGAATTTTTGGTGCTAGTTCACATTTTTAGCAAATTTAAAGCTATATTAGGAGACATTTAAATCCAAAAGATACAGAATTTAATTGTTTTTGTCAGTTCTAAGCGTGAATTTTGCTCTGTGGAGAAACACGACTGTGCTCTTCAGTACAAGTGTAGCACCTTCCAGCGTGCAGCATATGGTAACGAACACAGTTTTGTTTGATTAGACTGCAACAATTCCATCTTGGTTCCATGCATTGTGAGAGAGAACTTGCAGGTATCTCACACTGAATATTATAGGATAAAACCATGTCCAATCATCTAGGAATTAGATGTTAAATACTGCTGGCACTTGGAGGTTAGTTAGCTACCAGTGTCAGAGAGAGGTCAGGGATTAAAAAGCTAGTTCCACCAGAGAATGTTTTCCACTGATTTGAGTATTCCAGGTTTATTATTAGAGATATGCCCATCTACCCTGACTTCATGGCAACAGTTATAGTGAAGAATTCTAATATGTATTTATATAATGTGGCACTTGGAATTGGAACTGCTTTCAATACATAGATCTTGGTTTGTTAAGCATTTTAGTTGGCAGTATGGGAACAAGATGGTTGATCTTCCAGATCTTAAAGTATGTTTTGTCACAAACATAACACACGAATGAAGACTCTTTTAAAAAATAAAAAACAGATCCCCACGGACAATTTACAGCAGCTTGTTACTTACAGTGATGGCACACAAATGAAGAGATTTTAGTGCAGACTGCTGCATGACTATGCTTCTGCTGAGCCTCGAACCTTTTTGTCTTTGACACATTGTTTAGTTTTGAAGAACATACTGCTTTGCTCTTAAATTATTTTTAGATGTTTGGATGTGAATTAAGTTGAAGTTGATTTTATGGATTAGGTTTTTAGGTAGAATTTTTCATTTGTAGAAGACTTACTCTTTTTTCCCCCCTCCCCACCAGCTGAAAGGCACAAATTGTTCTAACAGCATCCTATAGAATCAGGAGCCTGATGGAAACATGCTCAACTGACCCTGCAATCAGCAAGGTCAGTTAGGATTTGACAGAACATTTTTTACAGCGATTCTTCACATGGACCTCCCCCCCACTTTTTTTTTTTCAATGAACTGATGCTGTTGTAGAGTCCCAAATAATGGCACCACAAAGATGCATAGTTCAGAGCAGCAGATGTGTCAAAACAGCTACGAATTAATCTCACGTTATCCAGGATATCCAGGATCAGGACTGATCACAGGGAGCCTGCAAGACCTTTCCTAGTTGACCCAAATGACGTCTGCAGTTCGTTCTTGCCCTAGAGGGAAACGAATCTGCATGCTGATGGTTGAGCAGATGTTTTTATTTGCAGGAGCTGAAACTTTCATGGGCATCCAGCCTTTGCTTATCTTTACTCATCACAACATTTAAATTGAAGGCAGTCGACAGAAGGGAACAGAACATGGCACACTTTCTAATTGATATCTAATTATATTATACATTGCTACGCAGCAGCTAAAAAAACATCAGATTGTAAACATTTTGGCCTCTGACTACTCAGTTGTGTAATTTAAAACCAGACTTAAGGGAAGCAATCTAGTAAACAACATGAACAACTCAGAGAATTGTTTGTCTTCAAAGTTACATATGCACACTGGCTTTTGATTCAGCCTATGTCTCTGCACAGAAACTCTGCATCCTGCGCCTCAGAATGGCTGAGCAAGCAGCCATCCACGTGTTATTAATGGGGTTTTAGTCCATGCATAAACAATAAAGTGTTTAGAAAGGACCTGATCCAAAGCTTCAGCAAAGCTTATTGGATATCTTTTTGTGGAATTCCACAGGTTTGGATGAGACTAAACAGGCTGACAAATGTTTCAGCCCTCATCCTAAAATTTTAATACAAGTATGTGACTTGTATCTCTTAAGATCAAAAAAATGATAAATGCATGTCAATAGCAGAAAAAGATCAGGTGGACTGCATGTGTAGCATGAGAAATACATGCCAGAAGACATTAGAAGACTAATTCAGAAGACTAAGAGAAGACTAATCGTTTTCATTTCATTTTAGAAAAATGAAGAACTACTATAAATCAAAACAGTTAGTAATTCGATGCCTTACTGAGGAAGAATATAGAGAACAAGGTGAAACAGAAACAGTCAGAGCTCTGGAGGAATTACGCTCCTTCTGCAGGAACCCTGACTTCCCATCGTGGCTAGCAGTATCCAAACTCCAGTCCCCGCACAGGTAAGGAACTTTTCCAAAACAGGAGCTGCACTGTGTGGTCACTAACACAGCAGATCCAAACACTACTCCAAGCATTGTTCCAGGTAAGTTTCTCTTATGTACAGTTAGAAAGGGAATTAGCTTTATCTGCTTGGGCAATTCTGTCACAGATCCGAGGTGCGGGATCTCCCAACCTCTCCAGGTGTTTCTTGCTGGTGATATTATGCATTTTGGACATTTTTGTTCCTGTCTGCTCATAAATTTCTGGGAGGTTGTAGAGGCTCAAAGCTAATTCACAGTGATGGCAGCTTTCCCCAAATCTCATACACTTCTTTTAATGCCTCTGCACGTTGCTACCCAGTGACCCAGGGGCTGCCCAGTGAGTGAAATGGCCCTTGATTTCTGTAACTTTAGGAGCAATACTCTTTAAGTTCCATAAAAATGAAGCAGGTTGAGCATAACATGTTCAAACCTTAGCAGTATTAAGCTCTCTAACTGCAAGCCAGCACAACTAAGGAAACCTATTGCTTAGAGTATCAACCAAGTGTTTAAGACTAAGAATGCAAACAACAACATAATGAGCAGCCGCTCTATATACAGCTTAAGAGACTAATTTAAGACAAATAAGAGTTGTGAAAAGTCTGATAAAGGTAGCCCAAAAAAGCCATGTAAAAATAAAAATAATCACTGACCTTTTTTTTCCATAATAAAACTTAAATATTAGAAGCAGATTTTCACATTTTACCCAGTCACGCAACGCTTGAGCATCACCCCAAAATCAAGTGCCACACTTTCTAAGCAGCCACATGGGCTTGGCATTTAATCAATATAAATTTAAAACTAGTTTCAGAAGCTCCATCTTCTTTGGATGGACACACAGACGGGTCCCCTGGGTTTATAGATTTTCCACTAAACTAAATGCTACTTGCATTCTGTAGCGCTCTTGAAAGGTACAAAAAGTGATAGCTTCAGTTTTGTAAACAAACAAACATGCCATATGCATGGAGCAAGCAATTAAAACATGTATTCTACGGTTAGATAATACCTTTTTTTAAAGTTAATATTAACTAAAGAACAATATTATTGCAAATTGTTCACAGTAAAAATATAAAATGAGGCAGAGGTCTGGTTTAAATTTGAGTATCTTCAAGCTTTCAGTAGCTCTCAGAAGATGGTTCAACACTAAGCAAACCTGGAAGATGCATGTCCAAGCAAGTCCAACAGCGTTCCCCATGTAGCCAACAATGCTGTGAAGAACAGTGAGATGACACATTCATCTCAAAGAAATGTTAAATCTAAAATGTAAATTATTGGTAAGTTTACCAGAATTGTAGAATATAGCTGCAGTTCCTTTTTCTTACATTTCTCTGCTGCTGTCGACACTTACCAAGTGTCAGAACTGCCGTCTGTTCCATGCACTTGCCAGGAACCATTATACAGTCATTCTGACTGTATTTTCAATGCAGTTGTCCACTGAAAGTAAGATTAATTGCAAAATTAAAAAATTAAAAATTAAAATGCAGAGACAGAGCTAAGTTCTTGCTTTGCTCTGCACAACCTCTGGCGTGGCATTTACTTGGTGCAGCTGCAGAATTCCGTCTGCAGCTCAAAATGCACCAAAAGCAGAAATTCTTCGGCAGGACACGGCCTCAGCTTGTCCGGAGTACTCGACATCAGGAGCAAGGTGATTGCACAAGAACGTGGGACTGTTACGTTCTCACCCTTTTTACTTTCATTAGCAGAACATCAACTTACCTGAATTCTTGCAGCCTTTGTCTCAAATATACTATAGATTTTACTTTATTTATAGAGGCTAAAGCACCATACACCCAAGTACAGGAAGGGATCAGTTTCTTTTCTGGATTATCCCACAGGCAGTGACAAGGTGAAAAAACAAAGTCAGATCTTTTTGCTTAGTCACAAGACCTTTCAGATGGCTTCTGGAAGAGCAAGAGTTACTTACTTAGAAAAGACTGAAGACAAAGATGAAACAGGAAAAAGTGAGAAGTGTTCAGACTCACTGCCATCCTCTGCTATTTAATTTGTTGTACATGACTCTCCATCTTATGCTATTTCACTGCACATGACTTGATATATATATATCATCTTTAACCTGGCAGTACTTCCTGCATTTATAGTGTAATTTTGCTCCCCACCTGATCACTTCTCTTTAAAAACTACCTGGCAGGTTTGCAGATTTTGTCCTGGGATTTCCTCACGTCTCACCTGCAGAAGCAAAGGCACATGATGAGGAATATGGCATTGGAAGCAACTTCCTGGAAGAGCAGCTCTTTGACATAAGGGCAGAATCAGAGCTGGGTGAGGCAGCCAACCCCATCTATGATGAACGAGGTGCTGAGGATGAAAATGAACAAATTGCATTTCCATATGGTACTGAGTTCTGCTGAGCTTTGGAAAGCACCCTGAAAAGGGGAGTGTTCTTCTTAGAAAGAGAGGGTAGAGACGGAGAACTCGCTCATGGTGGTTTCTTATGGATGCAAGGGAACAAGTAAATGTCTGTGAAAGATTAGCAGAAAGAAGATTTAGTTCATCTTTGCCTGTGCTGATGCTGTGAGAATGAAATACTCAGAAACTATTGTGAAATGAATCAGAAAGGGATGCCTGCAGAAAAGTCAGTTTTAAATCTGTTTTTTTTGCATGTTTTAAAGCAAGTAAGTTTTTTAAGCACACTTCCTAACTCACTTGACCGCTGATCATGAGATGTGAGGTCAAGGAGGAGAATTAAATTTTGTCCCAGCCTAAACCCACACAATCTCCCTGGACCTCCTCATTTTACTGAGTTACAGATGATTGTCCTGCCATTGATATATGGCTTCTATTTTTACGCAATAGCTAAACTCTTATCTTGATGTATTATTATCTTGATGTATTATTTGGCTGTGTGCCCAAACAAAATAGGTATTTTTTTCAGAGTCTTTTCCTTATGCTTTTTTTTTTTCCCCTCTCTTAAGGAAAAAAAACCTCAAAACAGGTACACAAAGGAAAAGACATAACCCAAGTTTTACAAACTTACAATGGCTGTTATTTACCAGGAATGGGAAAATAATATCCAGAGTACAGCAAATACTAGGCTCATCCACAAGCAGCAGAACAATATATTGAGAAAAAAAAATGCTTTAGTGGAGAGCTAAGAATGCTGAGACTGACCTTAAAAAATCCTCCTAGCTTTGTTTCAACACTTGAAGCATTTCACAAACCAAGCCCACCAAATCTGACTGAGGTCATCTGCGGCCTTTACCAACAATAAGTTTACTTGCGTGGTGCTCCTGTGATATACAGAAATTATGCAGGTTTAATGAGACCTAATTGTTAAGTGCCCTGCAGTGTTCATCAAGAACACCTGGGACCAGAATCTAGCTGTTACTCCGGTGCCTTATCCATCAGACAAGCGTTTCTTCCTTAGTGAAGGAGGACTTCATTGTATAGTTCCACAGCATGTTAGAAAAAAGGTTAGAATTGCATATTTATTTTCCATTCACGGCACAGCATATTTGATACTGTCTTTTGCATTCAGGATTTTTAAATAAAAGTATTTTTTCAAACTGTGTGTTTACCTCCTTCCATATTCCCTCTCCTCGGAGCAAGCCCCGAACACCAAGCAGCCAAGCAAACGGATAGGTGTGTTCATGTCCTCAGGACTTCTGCAGCCCAGCAGAGAGGATGGGCAGCGCTGTACTGGCTGTGGCTTCAGAACGGCCTGGCTCCTGCACCTCCAGCACATCTCCCTGCTGGGACCTGCTTTGCTCGTTCTTTATTTGCTAAGGTATTTTAGTTAATAAGAGAAAGAAAGGGAAGTATTTCCATGTTATCCTTTAGTAGCCTCTTCATAGCTTGCTAGGAGACAAACTCAACTGAGCTTTTACTTTCAGTCATGTTCTGAGAGGGATTTGCCCACTCACCTATCAAGCCATTTATGCTGCCTATTGGCGCGCACCCCTTGGGTCCACCTCATCCCACAAGAGGCAGTTTGTGCCTGCAGTTTTCATCACTAAACAGGTTTTAACACCCCACGAGATAGTAGCTCCCAGGTGCACTCGCCTTTAGGGAGAGAACCTTACAAAACGTAATCATAATTTAATTAATTCAAGGTCAGGTGATTCACTGCTGGTGCTATAAAATGAGGAAATGTAACAAAAGTTGAGATTGATGCTATTAAATACATTATGGATATTTTATATTTCTTACCACAGTTTTTACAGTTTCACAAATATCAAAACCCAGGTACACATGTCCACTTTGCAACACAGAATGATGGTACATTCCCAAAAGAAGCAGGCATTTCAAATAAGCGACTCTGAAGTGTAAACACAGGGTACAAGCTCTTCACCTGCCTGCAGCAGAAGCTCTAGTAACACCACCCAGCACCAACTCTGCAAGTGCTCGGCTGATGATTCTCAGCATCCTTCTGTCCTCTCACCTCTTCCCTTTTCTACTTCTCCCCAGGCTATATAAACATACAATAAATACATTTCTGCTTTTAAAGGACACTTAAACAAGTCATGAGGATTTACGTGAGTACAGTACATTTAAGTTCAAGTGCAAAAAGAAAAAAAACAACTAGTGGCTAGTTACCGATGTTTCATCTTATTTTCTACAGCGTTGGTCCCCGGCACCAGAACATGACTCCTACAAACGCACAGCTGAAGCGGAGCTACGGGAGACTCTTTGCGCTCAGGTCAGCTGGATTCCCCACTGGGTCAACCCTGCCCCTCTTTTCCTTCCGAGCTGCGGATCCCTTCCCCGTGCTCCCGAGCCACCCGCGCTGTGCAGCCCAAGAGCAGCCCCTTGCCAAGGGGAAGGCCGTTCCCGTGTGCCCCACCAGGAGGGCTAAGCCAGGCTTAAGCAGTCCCGGAAGAGCGGAGCGCTCAGCTCTTCACATGAGCAGGGCACCACAAGCCCGCACGCGCCCTCCTCCAGCCCAAGGACTTTCCTTTCTGCAGCCACTTACACTGCGCATCGGCAGCTCAGCTGCCACAGGAAATATTCAAAAGCATGACAAAATGGAATTCAAAAGTCTTCCCGTGTCTTGATGTCGGGCAAAACAGTTTTCCAGAAACACTGCTACTGAGCTATGCTTCCTTCCTCCTGAGAATCTCTCACCTTGACTTTTGCATCGACAATCCCCCCCCAAATCCTAAACATTACAATTTATAGGTAACTCATCCCTGCCCTCCCACCTTCTCCAGGCACTTAAAGCTCATGGTTTTCTCAATAAATACCCATAGTAACAACACTTCATTAAATAAACCCTTGTATAGATGATTAAATAGCAAGTAAAGCCAGTGTGTCCATTGAAAACCTTGATCAGCCTCCGCTTGTGCAGTCTTGATCAGATTATTGTCTTGATGCAACTCCCAGCCTGAAGTGCCCCCCACACAAACGCAAGCCCCAGTGGAGAGGTTGCCTTCTCCCAACCCGTCCTGCACCCTCCGGCTCTCCATGACTCCCCGCTGCGCCAGTTCAGCATCTCTGCTTGGCAGCCTACCCCGGGTCTCACACACAGCAATACTTCCTCCAAAGCACAGGCTCCGTCACCACAATCTGAAGATAGGCTGAAGCTAAAGCTCTTCTGTTTCCGAGAAATCTTTACATGGACAGTTTCAGGCTGTCCCTGTATTTACTGGGTATTATTTTCTAGTAGACTATGCAGGGAAACTCAGTTTCTCTCCTCAAAAGCCTCCTTGTGCTAGGAACAAATTAAAGAAAAAAAAAAAAATAGGATGACCAAGTCAGACACTTTGTGACCGACTTCACAGAGCGATGTGAACGCCCCTTTTCTGCACACTGCAAAGATCTAAACTTTAGCAAGGCAGCCAAGAATTCTTCTTCCAGACAGATCTCATTGCATCACGTCCCTCAAGTCTCTCCAACTTCTGGCTTGCCTGCTCGCGTTGCTCCGTGTAGCCGTGTGAATGTCCTTACATAGCTAAAAGCTGCTCCGCGTCACGTGATGATCATTAGGATGAAGGAGGTGCTACTTTGGGGCTCTAACTCCAGCGTTTCCCAGGCGAGAAGCACGATTCCATGCACTGATGCGTGAGGCGCGGCGCTCAGGGCGCCGCGGCGGCGGCAGGCCCAGCGGCGCAGTCTGGCCCGACGCAGCCGCCTCCCGCGTGCGAGTCCGACGGTGGTGCTGGCGCTGAGCTGGACTGCCCGGGATCCGCCGCATTTTGGGCTTGTCCTGGGGAGCCGCCTGGAGAAGCACCGCGAGTCTCACTGGTTCTCTGAGGAGAGAGGAGAGCGGTGTGTGCAAAAAGGGAGTGTGAACGAACGCCCGGGCACTGTCCCCAGCACGCGCCCCCGGCTGCATTCAGGCGGGACTGCAAATGCTCCAAGCACTTAGGCTGCACGGCCACAACGCAGTAAATCAACTTCAAGCAGCAAAGCAAAAGGGGAACGTTCAAACCCAGGCGATGCTGACAAGAAGCAGGCAAGGGCTTACCTTCCATCTCTTTTCCTAACTGCTCTCCCCAAGAAGCATGCAAAAAACAAACTCGTTGTGTTTCAAGGGAAAAGCAAGTGAAATTTAAAGCGTTCAAACAGCATCATTACTTGGACCCACGGACTCGGTAAACGGGATTTGACGCTCCTTACACGCTGCCTGCTCCAACAGAGCCGCCCTCTCCGAGACGCTGCTCGGTGTCCCTGCGCATCAGGCAGCACCTTGCAGCCTAAAGGACGCCCTGCACCCAGCCTACTGAGCCCGGTTTACCAAGGGGAAACAGAGCCATTTATCTAAGTGCTACTTTGATGCAAGACACTCAGTAGTTATCTTCAGTGTCATTATATATTACAAATAAACAAAAGCAGACAAACAACAACAACAAAATCACCGTTCCTTTGTATGCTTAAAGGAAGTCATTCCAGATAAGACCTCAGATTCATTAGGGATTCATTAACGGACTGCAGGGGCACATGCGCTCCATGCAAGTCAGTTTAGAGACCTAGGGAATCTCCAAGGAAAACTAAAGCCAACATCCCTGTAAATGTATTTCCAGTATTAAAGACAAAGGCAAAAGGCAGGAGAGAGCTCCTCAGGTGAAATTCCTGCACACCATGCTCAGCTGATTCACCGTCCTATCCCCAGTTACCCGTTTCCAAAGACAGGAATTGTAGAAACAGCATTTTTGTGTTCACAAGTACCTGGAGAACCTAAGGGGAAGGGGAAACCTCTCTGCTTTTTCCAGCAAGCTAATACAGAGGCTTTAACATTAGCCAAGCTGTTCTCAAAACCCTCTCAACAGCATTTTCCTACTTTGCTTAACCAGCAGCCTTCAGCTGTGTCAAAGAGGCACTAGGAATTGGACACGCTGAGTCACAGAGCGGCTCCCATCTTCACCTGGTACAGCTATTTCAACAGAAGTATCCCATAGGTAATTGCCTGGAACAGCTATTCCCCCAATATAGATATTTGACAACATCACCCGAGGAAGCAAAAGTGAGTTAAAAAAAAACCCAAAAAAACCCCACCATTTTACCCTCTACTAAGAAGCTGTGCGTGCTACTTCATGTTCATTCATCCTCTTGTTAATTTTGGCAAATGGATAAAGACACATCTTGAATAACGTTAAAACAAGTGCAGGCTTAAAGGGAATTCAAGTACATCTGAGCCAATAAAACAAAATCTAGCTACTCCTATCAAATTCCTATGTATTCAAACAGTACCTGCAAAGGCTGGTTCTCAGGACCTGGATTGGTTTTGGAGAGCTTAACCATCTCTTTGATCTGATAGATGGCATAAGCTAAGGTGACCCAGGGAGAAGAGCTGATGCCCCAGGCAGGCTTGCTCACATCCTCCTGCTCTTCCTGGTGCTTGGTTTTCTTCAGCGGGAGCCTGGGCTCAGCCCGAGCCATGGTATCCTCCGAGTGCTGCTGGACAAGGTCGATAGTCGCTATCGGGACAGGACTGGAAGGCACTGGGATCCTCTCAGCCAGCATCGTCTTTTCTGAAGTTGAAAGTGAAATAATCATCAGCAAAAGCCTAACAAACCTTAAATAATTAAATACAGCTAAAAAAGCAGGCAGTGAACACAAGGTGATTCTTGCTGCCCCAAAATGATTATTAAAGTCCTGAGAGCAGAGCACAAGGCACTAACAGCCACAAAACGTCATAGCCTTGTTCGGGGAACGCTGTGCAGATGCTCCATAGAACAGGGCAGCTCTGCGGCTACATTAACTTATCTCAGGCAGCTGCATGAGCAGGAGGGCTAATGAGTAAGTGACCCGTTTGTCCCCAGCTACCTATTATGTTTACTTATTTTCTTGTTACTACAAATGTAAAATAAGTCCTTTTTATGTTAAACATGAACTTAGATTTTTTAACCTTGTGGCAAGCTTCTTTCTCTGCAGAAACCCTGCGTCTTACAACTCTTAGTCATAGCTAAACATCATTCAGAAGCACTCGGTGAAGTCCCATGACTGACGTCATCTAATATCTGCCTCTGACCTTAAAGTTTCTAAACACCCTGGAGAATTAAAATCAGAGCCTGGGCTGAAAGTAGAAATAATACCACAGATTTCCTGCTTTTGCATCTTTGGTCTTCTGATAGTCTGAAATAGTTTTCACAACTGTCTTGGAATCCCACCCCAAATATCACTGCTACAGTCCAACACAACGTCTCTCTTAGTATTGAGGAGCCCGAGCGTTGATACTTAAGACATCCAACAGTTTCTAACCATCCGTTTCATTACTTTCTGTGTGACCAGCTGTATATTGTTTATGAGTCTGTACCTGCACTGCAAATTTGAGAAAAATATTTTTTCAGAGTAAAAATACTGCATAAAACGATTTTTATTTTCTAATTTATGACATATTTTGTTTATGCACAGTGCGTATTGTAATCAATAGCTCCAAGTTCTCTAGTAGTTAAGAAACAAAGAGACTAATCCCGTCAACACTTAAGCTCATGCTTAGCTTTACTCACACAAATAATCTTGTTGAGATCAACCTAATTACCACAAGATTTAAAATTAAGATACACTCAATACCCATCCTAAGGGAATGTATCTTAAGTGGAAACCAAAGACTGAAATGAACTCCCAGATGAAGACCACAAGGAACAAGGTTTTGTAGGTTCATGCGTAACAATGGAAAATGTTCACCTTTCCATTCTTCTCCATTATCATTTGAACTGGGGTGAAGAACATTCTAGCAGAATAAATATTTGAATACTTCAGTACAGGCAACTTGATAACTATTCAAGGACGGTTTATTTAATACTCCAGCTACAGAAAATGATCTCTCATTTCATACTCAGCGTCAAGCATATTTGAAAGTAACATTTGGGTAAAAAAGGAGGAGATAGAGCCTCATGCAACTTTGCACAATTACACAACGATTCTATTTTTTATTTGTAAAAATTACATTTAAGCTGAATTCTTAACTTTGCAGTACGTTTTCAGATGTAAATACATTAACTGTCTTCCTATTAAAATCCAAGGACTCAGTGCTGCACTTCTTCCAGCAGCAACATGGCCAGAGGCCTGGAACATCTGCCCTGTGAGGAAAGGCTGAGAGAGCTGGGCCTGTTCAGCCTGGAGAAGACAAGGCTGAGGGGGGACCTCATCAGTGTCTATAGATACCTCAAAAGGGAGGAGGTGAGGAGGAGGGGGCGGCCTCTTTTCAGTGGTGGCCACTGATAGAACTAGAGGAAACGGCCACAAACTGAAGCACTAAAAGTTCCACAGGAACTTAAGGAAAAATTTCTTGTGAAAGTGAGGGTGCCCGAGCCCTGGCACAGGCTGCCCAGAGAGGCTGTGGAGTCTCCTTCTCTGGAGATCTTCCAAACCCGCTTGGATGCAGCCTGTGCCCCGTGCTCTGGGTGTCTCTGCATGTGCAGGGGGGTTGGACTGGATGCTCTCTAGAGGTCCCTTCCAACCTTAGGTGTTCTATGATTCTATGACTCATTTGAAAACAAGCAAAACAGAGAAAAGATATCAAACAGAACAGGTTAAAGTGGCAGGGAATGACATCTGGAGCTATCACTTTCACCGTGTTTAATTTTGCAGTGTCTCAGTGATAACAAATATCTACCTTCTTCTTCATCAGGAACCAACAGCCACTGGATCAGTGCAAACAGAAGAAGAATCACTAAACAAGCCATTCCTATTCCCCTGAATGTCGCAGCAGGACCTGTGAAGGGAGAGATATTTTTAGTTGCATTTATATTTAATATATATACTTACATATATTGAACTGAGAATACACCTAATTAAAAAAGTAATAGATTAAAAAAGGTAAGTGAGCTTAAGGTACGCTGCAGGTATTTCTAATCCCACATAGACTCTTGTTAGGTTATTTTATTACATTTTCTTGCTCCTATCACTTTTCCTTGATAGGTTTTGCACAGAATTTTAACTCCGTAATTTCATCCTCATTTCTTGATCAAGGGGCTATATAGCATCCATCTATTCTCTTACAAAGGATTATTCACCGTCCCTAAGGATTAGTTTACGGATTTGTTCACACAAATCCAAAGACTACCAACAGGTACTATGGTCAAGCCATCTGACACGATAATGTCCTGAGCACCGTGGTCCGAATTCAGCATGGACCCTGCTTTCATCAGGAATCCGGACTGGAGAACTACAGTCCCTTCCCACCCACACGACCCTACGAGTCCAAGATTTATACAAAGTGCTATGTTTTAAAAAGCAGGAGTAATAAATCTTATGTATACTTCAGATACTATAAGTTAGCAGCTCAGTAAGGTCAGCAATTCAATAAATAGAGGCCTGGGGTACGTGTGTTTCTTACCGAAGTAGTTGACGAGCACGCCTCCGATCATGGCCCCGCAGCCCCTGCCCAGGCCCAGGTGCAGGCCCTGCAGGATGCCCTGCGCCGACGTGCGCAGCTCCGGCGGCACCGCCGCGCTCAGGTACGAAATGCAGGCGGCCCAAATGGCTGCATGGGTCACACCTGGCAAGACACAACACCGGGACGCGAGCGCAGGGCTCCGAGCCTGCCCAGACCCCCTTTCCTCTCAGGCAGGAAAAGGAGCGTTTATGGACACGCTGGGGAAACACTACGGCAGTTCTGGAGCTCCTTACGCACTAAATAAGCCTGAACTATTTTGCCACCCTCAGACTGCGTGGGAATATTTATTCTCCTTTCAGCACAATTAAAAATAGTATTCACGCTTTACCATTGCCTAGACATTTTAAACTCTACTGCCTAATCTAAAAAAAAATAAAAAATAAATGCACTGGCATAACTGATGATTCAATCAACATGGTTGTGTCCCCTGCTCTTTCCTTACTAAAGAACAGCTGGACACTTAATAATTACTTTGCAGTTAGGCTGAAGATTCTAAGAGTTCTAATCTTAGGCTAAGATTATAAGAGTAAGCCAGCACACTGGTTTTTAACATACATAATAACTTTGCTTTTGCTTAGCAATAAAACAATAAATAACACAAGGAGTCAATGTAACCGGGGTATATTTGATGCTCACAGGGCTGTACCCTTTAACTTAATTCCAAGTCTGAATAAAAATTGTCCAAATGTTTGGTAATGGAATTGGTTTTTACTAACAGTACATTTCATTGGAAGGAAAAAAAAAAAAAAGAAGTTAAAAAAAGCTTGCATTAGTCTGAGTGTATTTTAGCCTATCATTTATGGTTTAAGGTTTTAAAATATATAGATGTTTCACAGGAAAAGCTCTGAGTTTTAAAACTCAGTGGATTTGAGTTTTGAACAGCAACCCTTTGTGGCTGTTAATGCAGATCCACACAGGCCCTGCAAACAGCAGCCAAACACCATCCCAGTCACAAAGCAAAGCTCATCTAAGCCAGACACCGTGTCTAGGAGGAGCGCGTGCCAAGGAGAACACATTGAATACTGGTTACTGTAAAATACTCCGTTTTCTCAGGAATTGACCAGTAAATCAGATTTAAGTAGGCAAACAAAAAACATAACAGGAATTACTCAAACCACAAGGCATAATACCACTGCATTTGTTGGAAAAGGTTGTACTTCATATAGAGGCTCTTGGATGGTTTTTACCTTTAGCCAGCAGGCTCAGAGCTTATCACACGTGGCTCTAACACACAGACATTTAAAATCATGCATTATTAAAGGGATTTTTATGATGATTATTTACACAGTCTGGAACAATTGTAACAACAACTCTTGTAAGAAATCGGGCCTGCATTACAGCCAATCACGTTTTGTTTTAATTTAAAGAAGCTGCTCCTGTTAAGCATACTTTAACACTACTTTGTGTAACTACTCATCCTCCTTGGCCATTCGGACCACAGCACTAATGCTTGGGACAACCCTAGTATCATGCTCAGAATAATAATAGTAAACTTTAGTCAGGAGCTGCAGCCTAATTTCCTTACATTTCTTTCAATACTTCAGTTTTCTAGTAACACAGAATTTGGACATGCATAGCTAGCATATTAAAACATATTTCTTAATAATATTTTAAAACATAATTGCAGTCAAGTGCAAAATGAACATTCCTTCAGCGAGTAATGACATTCAACATGTTATAAACATACTTCCCATACATGTACCTCTAAAAGAATATCTTGAAACTTTCGGTCATTTGAGTTTCAAGCTAAGCCCTTGTTTTCACACACAAAATAAATACAAATATACAAATCCTAAGGAGTCAGAACCAAGAAGAGAGCTTAAATCTCATTTACTGCTCTGAGAGCATAGAGCACTTCAGAGCCGCAGCACCCTAGTCGGCCTGGTAGCAGCTGAAATACAGTGTGGTTCAGAGTGCCATCAATAGGCCCAGTCTGCAGAGTCATCCTCCAGAAGGCTCTCCATGCCCTTCAGCATCAGGATGCTAATTCTTGTATTTCAGAAATACATACATATATATAAAAAGTCCTTCCCAGACTCAGCTGAGCTTTCTGAGCCTACAAACCATGAGCTGCTGGCCTAGGATTTGGCCCAGGACCTGGGAGCTTCCTAGGAAGGAGATTACGTTGAGATGCAACATGGGCTTCCCCCATCAGGCCACACAGCACCCACGTACCCTGCGCTCAGAAGAAACAGAATTCGATAATTGCTGCAAAAGGAATAATAACAGCAGCAACAAGATTAGAGAAAACGAAGAGAAGCCAGAGGGGAAGGAGAACTAACAGACAAAGATCCCCAAGGGCTTCTGCCAAGGTGACCTCACGCTCCCGCTGGGCGCTCCTGAAGGCTGTTGCAGGGAAGTCGCAAACACGGTGGCAATAACCAGTGACACATGCACTGTGCCTATGAGCCCCAGGTCCTCTAGCAGCAACCACAGGGGAGGTGCAGGCTGAAAAGGGCATATAAAACACGTAGAGGGATTTTATTGTCTGCTGTGGTGACCTTTTTTTTCTTTTTTAAAAATTTTCATTATTATTCTGGCTGGCTGACTATACATGACTGCAAATTTTTATATATTATATATATATGTACATTTTAAACAAGATTGTAAAGTGTAAATGAGTCGGTAAGACTAGATATAGATATACTTTTGCAGAATGAATTATGAGAAGGTATTATTTAGCAATTCCATGTTTTTTTCTTAAACTTCAATTGCTCCACATAACACTACACAAAGAGTCTCTTAAAGAGCTTCCTCATAGCATCGCTGGATAAGCAAAGCTATATAATAAAAAAAGTACCCTGAAATTTCAGTAGAATAAATAAAAGATACAAAGGGGAAGAAAAATCCTTCTCAGCTGTAACTGTAGGATGCAAGAGCTACACTTACGGCTCTGCGGTGGAGACATAAGCCTCTTGCCCTGCGTTTTGAGCCTGGGTATCATTAAAGTAAAATTACTTGCACTGTCACATATACCCTCTTCAGATGTTTAAGCAGGCAAGCGTAGAACACAGACTCTTTCTTCAGGTTCTTTGTCACCCTTCTTTTTTAACACTTGGCATGAGAGATGAAATACCAGTTTGATATTGATAGTGGTGGGTTTGCATTGTTTCTTTCTTGATAAGAATTCACAAGCTTGCTGGGCCAATAGATAAATACATTAACCACTCCTGGTGCTAGGAAGCAAAGGAGCCAGGACAGACAGATTTCTCTCTACCTGTATTTAGAGACCAACAGAGCGCTCTCAAATTGCATTTTAGAGTTCAAGAGGAAATACATCTTACAAAGATTTCTTTAAATATAACAGAAAAAGTTGGTTTAAACTCAAATTATGCTGCACAAAGAAAATTTAAAGCCTCTAAGAACAAGCCGTAGAAAACTTTCTATGCAGCATTTTGTAAAGTCAAGATACTGCTTTAGGAAAGTTGGCTCGGTTAATTTTAAAGGCAGAGAAAACATCTTAGGCATTTAAACGGACCGTTCTCTTTCAAGCCTGCAAATCCAGACTCAGTATTCTTCAAATACAGGAGAGCAGATGCTTAGATTCTTTTTCTTCTGTTTAGGTAGTGAAACGCACCGCAAAGGAGTAAAAAAACTGACATAAATTATGAGAACAATTTATATGTTAACAGGTCAACCTTTTTTGACAGCCCAATGTGAAAACAGGATTGCAACGACTTTGCACAGACCACACCTTTGCCCTTCGGTCATGCACAGGGCTGTTATCTTAAAGACACTCTGCTAGAACCGACAAGGCTTCTAAGAGAAATTCCTCTGCAGTTATGAAGAAAAAACAAAGCAAAAGCACTGTCCTAAGGTATAAGGCAAACAATACCCCTGCAAACCAGCTGTAAAATATTTCAATAGAGGCAGGATGACCCAGACTACGTTCTTTGTCCCTTTTTGTTTTTAAAGCATCCTTTCAAGTACTGTGACCTTTTGCGTTTAACCAAGTGCATATTTATCCAGCAAACAGGATTTGCAGCAGGTGTGTCCTCGGTTCATGTTTCTCTCTCTTTGTTTAGTTAAAGGGCGGGCTGGTCTTTCACAGTTCAACACAGACCTGAGCGCAATCAAATGCTAACTCGCCCTTTTGACGTCAAATATTTTCTGAGCTAAACGATCGTGTCTCAGGAAACTGGGTTTTCAGGGATATTTGTGGTTGGAGATGACATAAATAGCAGACTGCTACTTTATCACAGTTCAGTTGAAAGCAAACAAATATATACGTATAAAAAAATACGCTCTTAAACTGGAAGGCCATTGATGTACTGCAACGTACTGTCTTACCTTGAAGTACTTCCATAGGGAGAACAGTCCAGGCATTTTCCAGATATGAGATGTAAATGTAGCGAGCTGTATTACAGGCCAGGCCAATATAGAGCACTCTGAGGAAGTCAGGAAAAGAGGTGTCATAAGGGTTTGCCCTTTCCTTGCTTGGTCTGTTATAGGATGCTCTACTGCTTTGGAAATCATTCACACGGGTCCGGCTTGCTTGTCTGAAGCGTTTACTCAACAAACAAAAATGCTCCCTTTAAGACTCACATGCAAACATAAACCCTCCTCTTGCCCTTGACAACTGCACATAACATTCAAAATGAGTAATGTTAAACCATACTTCCAAATCTTACTTGAAAAAAATCAAAGGGGCCAAAGAGAGCCACCGAACTTGTATAGTTTCATTCTTAACGCATTCCAAAAAATGTCCTCTTTTCTAAGCACCCAACTGTCAATTTTCCCATTTTAATATGGAGTTGATGCAGATTTCTATTACATGAATTAATTTTATCCTGATTAATATGAGTGCATCTTCCCAGTATCTGCAGACTGCTCTAAAACACATCCCACAGTAACAGCACGGTTCACAGCAACATGCCTCAGGATAAAACTTCAGCAGCCTGTTGAAAAGCAACAGATGCTACATCTCAGAAGCAAGAGAAAAAAGCTCTGATACCCATTTTTCAACAATGAAGTACCAAAAATATTTTCACGGGGCGTTTCCCATTGCACCGTGTGACTTTTTCCCTTCAGTTTTCAGATTTAGCTTAATTTACCTTAATATTTGACCTGTTACTCATGCATACAGCTGTCTCTCTCTTATTTTGAGGTGGATTTTAGAAAACAAAGACTTCATTTCAAGCCTGTTTTTGGCTTGACAAAAGAGGCCATTGTAACCTTTAAAGGTTTTCAAACACAGGGATGATGTATTGCTCAAACAGAGCACTCCACTGTTTTTGGTTAAGATGTAATGTGGCACAAGCAAAATATACAAAATTGATTAAAAAAAAACCCAAAAAGTCTAAGCGTGGATATTTGTTGAAAGGGCTCAGTCTTCTTTGCATTGATTTTTAGGTAGCTGTTCTATAAAAGCACAGAACCAACGCAAAATGTAAAGCGAGAAGCTCTAAGCTGGGTCAATTGGCAGGAAGTTGTTTTTCCCCAAACCCCTCCTCAGGCCATGCTGTGTTGCTCCTAGATGCACACAGGGTCCATCCATAGCTGGAGCAGGATGCCATTACACCACAAGCCAAGAAGGAAACGGGAAGCCGTTAAAGAGAGCACTATTATATGACAAAGAGACCAAACTTCATCTGTAACTTAAACTGTATCCCCTTCATTCCAAGTCTTATCTTCCTCTTTCATGTCTACTATTCCAAACACGTAACCTAGTTCCTTTTAGAGCCAAGCTTAATGCAATCCCTCTGGACAGTTACACTTCTGAACTGTATTGCAACACTTGCCATAAGAGAGAAGGAAACCTGAGGGGGAGAGAAAGACCCAACGCATTTGGCGAGTTCAGGAAACCACATCACCGTTGATCTGGTTTCCCACATCTGCACCCAGATGCACCCAGCCTTTTGCTTAGGACTTTTGTTGACTCTTGGCAGTTTAATTTCACTTTTCGCTAGCCAGAAGCTCACCTATCCAGCAAGAATTCTCCTTCCATCTTCACCATTCACAGTACCATCCAGACCAGGGACAGAGCTCTCCTCCTCATCACCACCCGATGACATACTCAGCTGCTTCCCTTCCCTTTCCTCCCAGAGTATCTACTTAAGAACAGCTTGGAGTGTAAGTAGAGCTAGATCGAGGAGATCATGGAATTAGGAGGTCTTTTGGAACCATCTATAGAAGGTTGCATTGCCAGAAAAACACATGTGCTAACATGTAGGTAAAATGTTTATCAGTGCAATTTCCAGAACAAAAGGGCATCCTTAAAACGGGTTAACTTGAATTTCACACTGTAACACAGGGCTAGGCCAAAGCCTGAACATTTTTTGCATCGCTCTTTTAATGACTGTGAATGTCTCCTTACCTGATGTGACCAACCAGTTCAATCAGCTTGTGGCTGAAGAAGTAGGCAGTGAGCTCAGACACGTGGCTGAGCACAGAACACACTCCAAAGAGAGTGGTCGTGCCATTCAGGTCTTCCAGATGCCAGTAGAGGAAGGTGAACACAAAGCCATATCCAAACCCCATGAACCAAGCCACAAAGAGCACAGAGCTGTACTGGATGCTGCACAGCAGCTTTATCAGATCCCAAAAGCTGAAAGACTGCGACTGGCTCACACTCGTGGGGGTGTTATCAGAGGACTCGGAGGTGTTTCTGTCCACTTGCGAGATTTCTACTTCTTTCCCCTTATTTTCATCTTGCTTGAAGTGCACGTAATGAAATCGGAACTGGGTGGCCACGATTAACGCCATTGTCATCAGAACGCCGAAAACGATGAAGACGATCCTGTAGTTCTTGTACTCGGGAGCTCGGCATCCTTGTCCCTCAATGGCAGCTTCACTGTGGGTATAGTCGATGCCAATTCCCACGGAGAGCATGGCTAGCCCCCAGCCCAGGGAGCCCCACATTCGCTGCAGTCCATAGCGGTCCCTGTGCTTGCCGAGGTATTGCAGAGTCACCGTGTCCACGATAGTGACGGACGAGGCACTGAAAAACTCTCCGATGATGACGACGAGCAGGATGAGGAGGAAGATGGCTTCTACTTCTTGATGATCATAGACGAGCATGGCTTGCTCTGAGGACATCGGCTTTGTGGTGCTCGCAGCGGCAGTGCTGCTCTGAGATGTATTTCCCGGCAAGGCCGGGCTCGCGGTGGTGTTTTTTGACATCACATGCGTACTGTTTTCCAAGGCAAACTCCAGGTCAACGCTCTGCGTAGGTAACAGGAATGTGATCTCAGGACGAGCTGGCCCTGTCGTTTCCAAAGCGACCGGGTTGGGGGTGAAGAGGTCTCTCCTCCCGCGGACTTTCGGGGCTGCGGAACTTGCTGGGATTGTTGGCGGGGAAAGCGAGGCGTTCTGCAGCGCTGTTGTCGCGTGGCCGCTCGCGTTGGTAGGATGCGCCGGGGGGAGGCCCTTTGGCACGCACCGCAGCGTGGCCGGCCGAACGAACCCAATGCCCAGGTTAAACAACACCCAGCAGAGCAGGGAAAAGAGAAGGACAATCTTCCCTTTCCTGAAGCGATCTGCCACCACCCCCCAGAAGGGAGCGCTGCAGAACTCGATGAAGTACCTGATGCCCACCAGAAGGCCACTCTGGCTGGGCGACATGCCCAGCTGCTTGTAGTACACGGGCAGCAAGGGGTAGAGCGAGCCATATGCAGCGTAGAAGAAGAAATAGAAGACTTTGGAGATCAGAAGGTCGTTGTTTATTTTGACACAGTGCTTTTCCAGCCAGTCCAGCTCTTCATCCGGCGCAGTGGTCGTCTCTGTCGAAGGGGACTCGCTCTGGGGCTGTGGGGCTGCATCCTTGGCGATGCCATTGAAAGGGTCGGCAAGCACATACTTCCTCTTCTGCTCCTCTTCGTCATCTGTTAAAATGGCAACTTTATCATCGGCTGCCATGGCGTCACCGCAGACATCCAATACCTCGGGTGCTCTGAGAAACTGCTGCTACCCTAGGGAACAAGGGGGGAGAACGTGGTGAGGCGACACGTGCGCACGGATCTGCAAGGCCAGGCGTCAGGCACAACTGACAGCCCTAACCAAGAAACATGGCACGTATCATCAGGGCAGGCCATTTGCCTGGGCTCTGGGGACACCGTAAGTTCAAGAAAAAGTAGATTTTATGAGCAGGGATATTCTCCCAACAGCAGTCTTAACATGGCACCTTCTGTGTCTAAGGCAGTAAAAATGTGTATATTCAAAGTTACTGGGGCTATTAAGCACTACCATTTGCAAGTCTTTTCTTTAAAGTTGTATTTTCTCCTCTAGCACTGTTTTATGTCCTGTATTCCCACAGGAACACAGCAATTGTTCTTGGAAAGCCAAGATTTCATAATTACACTAGGCTGGCAAATATATATCTCGCTTTATTAATAAGCAAAATGAAGGCTGAGGATTAATCCATCTCCTCTTGAAACATGATTTTCAAAAATTAAAAACAAACCAAACGAAGGTATCTCAAAGGTATCCAAGACCTGACAGCAAAGAAACACAAGGGCAGAAAGTAAATAATGGCCCTATAATGATGCTTTCGAGTGAAATTCCAAAATTCAGGATAGGGGGCTAAGGAGAGAGGCACCACAATCTCCCCCGCGCTGCACCTGGCCCTGCAGAGAGGTAAGAGGTGGCAGAACTGCGCTTGACAAGTGACAGAGGTGACAAGCTGCCCTTGAAAACACGCCGGCAAACTTGGCAAGGAGGAGTATTTGCAGATGACACTTTAACAACATTCCAGGAGCGCCTCAACATTGTGGGTAGGGAGCACATGCCCCAGAAAGGGGGGTGCATTTTGCAGCTCTGCCCTTGCTATTGTCAAAGCGACGCTCCAATGAAATTCCAGTCTCTCAGAGCTCCACTGAAAGCATAATATGCTCCATTTAAAAGCAGTCATGCATTGAGACGGGCAGCTCATTTAAATTATTTAATTAGAAGACAGAATTATTTCAATACCAACAACAGATCTGTAAACTAATGAGGGGGATTCTGAAATCCACGTATTTCAGGCCACCCAATGCACAAACAACTGATACGTCTAAAAACTGGCGTCCACTGAGATATCTGAAACCTTATACAGTTCATTCTTCTATTTTCTTTTTTTTTTTTTCCTTTTTTTTATGCTTCCATTTCCCTTTCCTGTTGGAAAAGGCCTTCAGTTTCCCAAGATGTAGGAAGGGTGAGTATATTAAAGATTGTTACATTTTTAATCTTTAAAACTTAAGCTCTTGCACACACTTTGCCTCCGACCCTGTAGATTAATTTGTCAGGGTGGCCATCCTCTTCTAGCCCACTCTGCCGGGATTAACCCAAAAGAAACATTTATACTCTCGTATAATTTTGACTAGAACACCTGGAAGAAGAATTCTATGAAAAGCATATTTCATAACAGATCTCATAATAAGCTCAGCAAATATTTCCCCTGCCGTACAGTGGAAAATAAAATATTATTAATAGCAGGGAATATACTCCTCAGAACTAGACAGCATCAGGGCCCTCTTCAGTGTTTTCATCATTAGTTTGTTTGGGGGCTGGGTTTTTGGAAGTGATTTTGTTTAGAGATCTTTTTAATTCTGGAAACTAGAAAAAAATAAAAGGAATCTCTTGGGCTTTTCCTGAAGAAGGAGGAAAACAAGAAAAAAAAAACCACCACACACATGGATAGGACAACAGACATGCAAAAAGAAAGTATTTTGTTCTTCCATCTGTTGGGAGGAACAAACGTTTCTCTTTAGACACAGGTTTGCTCCGCAAACATTCTCACGTTTAGACTCAAAAGCGAATCCCTGTTTCAGCATCACCTGAAACAGAGTAACTCTAAGTTTGTAACAACTCATTTTCCGGAGCATTAAAATGCACCTCTTCGCTCCCGGCCGCCCAAGAAACCCCTTCTGGTTTTGCAGAACAGGACTGCCCTTGCTCAGGCTGCACAGGAAGCCTGTGGCTGATGCCGCTTGACCTACGTGTGAGTTTCCGTGCTAGGATGCATCTTCTCTGAGCCTCTTCACAGGAAAGTAAATCCATCTTTCTGCTCTCCTGACTGCCGCAGCAGCAGAAGGAAAACTATTCGCTCCAAGGAATTCAGCAATGATATTTTATCGTTCGCGACAAGCCTCCTTGTCATGACAGGGACCAGGCAGACACGGGTACGCTCTGTTAGGCTCTGTTTAGTTAAGTATCCTCTTGGCCTTCTTCTTGGGTTTAAAATTGATCCTCACTCGCACCGTCTCTCCCCATAATGAGGGGATTTTTCAACATTAGAAAGGGCAGAGAGCTGGCCTAGACAAGTTCCCTCCACAACAAAGGCAAGTCACAGTGCAAGAAAATGCTAGCGCTAGAAACTCGGTCCTACTTGGGGCCGCTCTGCCCAAAAGCTTTGCACTGCGTCTCGAAAAGCTGCTGATCACTAGATCCGACTGGGGGCACGAACCCCTGAACCTCCCAAGTAAAGCCCCAAGGCACCTGAGGATACATAGGGCTTCAAAATAAATAAACAAGAAGGCCTTAAACTGTCACTGGTAGACCAAAAAACAGTGAGGAGGAGGAGGAGCACTGTGGTTTTTAAATAATGTTTAATTCACCATAAATATTTGATGGGTGGGGGTTAGGCTTTGCAAATTCAAATATAATGAAGTCTCAGAGAGCGAAGTGTCCAAGAGCCTCAAAGTCAGGGTTTGCATGTAAGCAGAACATGTATATGTGTTTGTATATGCACATATATATATTCCCTCACTCATAATTCCTAGTAACACAGTGCAAGCAGGTAGGAATAACTTGCAGCAGTTAAGCACCCAGTAAAACAGCCGCCCAAGGTCTGTGTTGACACGGTCTCTGAAAACATACTCAAAACATGCTCCAAACAGGAAGCGTTAATTAAACCCTCAAACAACTCGCAGCTATGACAACCAAAGCAGGCCGGTGGCTGTGGGCACCGCAGGCACAACCACAGCCAGCCTAATCTTGCTTTACACAGCCAGGCTTTTCACCGGAAAACCACTTTTGAGCACCCATCCTCGTCCTCCGCCCTGCTTATCTCACTGCTCTCAACTGCAAAATCCTGGCATCAAGGACTTGCTGCTGCGGTTTCTGTGCGGGGCCTAGTGGAAATTAAGCAAGTCCATAAGAAACTGCTGTCATAAACGTGAATAATGGGCTGCATTTTCCCTTTACAAGCGACTTTCACTCCTATGCAAGAGCCTTGCAGTGTCACCTACGTTGATGCCAAGAGGAACGTTACGCAAAGAGCTGAGGTGTGACATAAGAGCCCATATCCTGCATTTGCTCCCCCATAGCACCTCACTATAACACACACAACTCTTGGGACAAGTTTATTTTGTCTTGCTTGGCCTGCACTTACTTGAGGTTTCAGTCTATAGACTTTTCCACATCACTTAATACCCACACAAACCCCGCCATACTTTGGCATGTTTAGTCAATTAGCCCAAGAGGCTAAAAAAGTCTCAAACACGTCAAGATAAGCTGTAGAATAGGTTTAATACATTTTTCTATCGGGATTGAAGTTGCTAAGCTGATACCACAGCACTTGTGCTAACATTAAAGTGCACTGACCTGCTCAAGAAAAGCCAGTAAATGGGCACCTCCAGGCTCCTGCTTCCTTTCCTACCCAGATGTTCTGCTCAAGGCGTGCAAATTAAGGCTAAGCTATAAGCACATAAGCTATATGTGTATATATAAGCTGTAAGTAACCTATATATATATATACACACACATGTAAAAAAAAATATATCATTTTTTCACCAGGACTAGACTCAAAGTTTTTTGACCGGTTACTCCCGTGAGCAGCCCTTGCTCTTACGCTGCCTTCTACCTCTCTGAACTCCTATTTTACAACTCGCCAGGGACTTGCACCGCATCTGCAGCCGCCGTAGCCAACTCCTAAATGGGAGCGATCTCCGGAAAGCGAGAGAAGGGGAATAGAAGGGAGCGAAGGGGAGCGAAAGGGGGGTGAAAGAGGAGCGAAAGAGGCGCGAAGGGGAGCAAAAGGGAGCGGAGGGGAGCGAGGAGGAAGCGAAGCGGAGCGCTCTGGGAGCGGAGCGGCCGGTCGGCAGCGCCGCGAGCCCCGGGCCCGCAGCGCCAGGAGCGGCCGGGCCCGCAGCGGAGCGGAGCGGAGCGCAGCGCAGCGGGCGGCCCGCGCCCCTCGCGCCGCCTCGCTCCGGAGCCCAGGGCCGCGCCGGGGCCGCTCCCTGGGCCCGAGGATGTCCGAGCCGCTCGGCGGCTCTTTATTCAGCACCGCGAAGGCGCAGGGCGGCGGCTGCAGAGCCGCTCGCGCGGGCGCTGCGGGCCGCGCAAGGAGGTTGCGCGGCTCGGGGGCCCCGCGCCGCTCCGCGCCGCTCCGCGCC